TATGTTGCGTTACTGCACTTGTTGCTGCTATACACGTTATAATGCAGGTCGTGTCCAACAAAGTTTTCAATTGTTGCGGGCGTATCAGTTCTGTAGTGCTATTCGGCTTGATCGGTATACACTCAACAATACCACCCAATAGATCACTCAAGCCATCCGAACGTGTTCCATATTTCAAGGCCTCATAAGAACCGTGCAGTTTGGCTATGGCCTTTTCCAGCAACGAGGCCCAGTAACAATTCGACGATTGTGGTTGCAGAAATGCCAGACGACCATTTATGGTGGGTAAACGATCATCGACCAACACCTCAACCCATTCACCGCACCACCACAAACGAAAACGGAAAACACCATTGGCCTTGTCCAGAGATTGATCGGCTGGGACCACACGATAGAATAGATTGCGTAAAGAGTGCAAAACACTTAAACAGGAAACCAGCCAACGATCACCCATTTTTCCGGGTATGACATCGAAATTTTCCGACTCATTGACAAAGCAGGCATTTTTGATGTCAGCTATTTCGGAGATGCGGCGCCACTGGAAGGTGAACGGCGGGGTTTGGTAATAGAATACGGAAGTTTGCACGGCCGGGAAATCGGGATCTTCCCACAGAGTATTACGAGCACGACATTCGTTTTTAATGCGTTCATATTTTGACGTCATATTTTCTTCGTGTTGGCTTGTTTATGGTTTTCCGTCCGAAAGTAACATTAACAACGACTTTGACTACGACAACAATAACAACAACACCAACGAGCACCAAGATTGCAAGGCAAAAAAAAGTTAGCTTGTTTGGGATACAAAAAAAAAAAAAAAATTGAACTGTAGGCGTGTTTTTGACGCGTGTACGCAAAAAAAACGAACGAGCGAGCGAATTCTTTATTTTCACTTTAGAGCTCAGCCACCAATCCGATGGATAGCAATTATTTTCAACAAATCACTCTTCGACCATTAATTGCAGACTATGGCTTGTTCCATTAATTATTGTACACCACCATTCTCTATGTTTTCTATTTATCATCACTTGTCGGACAACATTTGATTCTTTCTTTCCGTGGATTCCAATTGTAGCTATTCGAATTCTTATTAGATTTTCCGATCACGTATTTTTGTGCGCAGATAGTTCTTTTTTTGGTGTTTTTTTATTTCTGTATTTTTGTTATTTTGAATGACCTTGTTTTGGGAAAATTTTTCGAGAAAACAACAAATCCGAAAATTTCACACAACCACTATTGTCAGTAGCACCACCAGTTATATTGGCTGGCTGGATGGATGGCTAGCTAGCTCGCTGGCTGGCAATACAACAAAGTGAAAGTTATAAGAAAAATAAAAATGAATGAAAAATAATAGCCCAGCCAGCACACACGCAAATAAGTTGTAGAAGACCACGAAGCGAACGACGACGGCACAATAACACACACGATAGCAACGAGCACGTCAACGTAAGAAACTAAAGCAAGTTGGAGGTTGTTGCATCGATGGTAGCCACCTGAATGGAAACATCAACCAGAAATGTTGTGGAATGTTTTAATTGTCAAATTTGTGAAGTGTTTTAAAACAGGTCCCAAACCGCATGCGCAACTGCTGAGCGCGCACAGACGGTATTGCCATTTGTTGTGAGTGGGGATTTCTTTTTGTGAATATGGCAACATTATTTGTTAAGGGGAAATATTAAAGAAATACAACCTTGGTTTGAAAGATTGATGATGGTAAATCCAAAAAGGAAGATTCTTAGACGGTGTCTACATACGGTGTATGGTCCTATACCTTCTATTTTAATAGAAAGTGGACTAGCTGGAGGAGGACCCGCCTTAAGTTTTTTTTTAATAAAAAAAAATGGAATTTAGTTGAATATTAAATAAGCAACGGTATTGACTTTGGTCATTTGAATAGCCTTTGTTGTTGTAGCACTTTACGCGGTTTATTTTTCTCTATTCAAGCTGCTTCTGCATGAATCCAGAGCCCGACTAAAGCTCCGGAATATCTGCGTGTGGTGGTTATTGATTGAGCAGACCCAGACGAGTGTACCAACGAAGATCACTGGTTGCTAGTTGACAGATACAAGATGGAACTCTTCCTAAACGTTGATCGTCGGAAACTTCGATTCGACCTGGTCACCTTGTAATCGACCGCAGGAACTCAGTGAGCGGTAATAATGACCGGGACATTCCTTTCTGCTTCCCATTGTTAAAAGTTATAGTGTCGGGTGGCCTGATGATAGAGGTGATAATAGGGAGGTCTATAATGACGGGTGTTCAAGTAATATCTTTCGTTAGACCCATTATTTATTTTTTAATTATAAAAACTGTATATTCAGTAATATAACAATTTAACCATTAACAAGTTCAAAAAAGCAGCGTTTTCGGGCAGATTCTGATGTCCAGAAATTTTATGAAAATTGTATGTTGAGTAGTATCAACATTTAACCATTAACAAGTTCAAAACTACAGTTCGGACAGAGATTCAGAAATTTTATTCCTATGTAATCGAAAACGGAGGACCCTAGCAATAAATATGAATATTAACGATTTTTTTCAGTTCATTTTGATTGTAGAAGTACCCATGATAATAAATGCCAGGGCACTCACATCTATAGGAGATTGGTGCTCACGAATTCTGGATGACTACGTGAGTGCACTGGGGACAGATAAACGACTTCGGCCATTACTACCTGCTTTAGGTCCTGTATCGAATGTTTTTGTTTTCTTCAATATTTTGCATGTTCCGTTTTGGGAAAACATAGTCACTTCATCTACGTCCACCCATTGTGCTGCCTATGCTTATAAAATGCTGTAGGATATATTTACTGTATTTTATTGCATTTCATTCATTATAAAATATTTCAGTAATATATGTATACACATTTTTTTTCAATTAAGATCTAAGAATAATTTCTTACAGTGTTATGGCTTATAACAAAATAACATGCCATACACTGCCAACTATAATATATAGTATATAAAACAGAATATATAGATAATATATAAATCTATTGAAAAAATATCTTAGCACTACACAGATTATAATATAATAAATTATATTCCATTTGATGAGCATTAATACGTCTCTCTGTTAATACTAAAGTCTGTTGTAATTTCTCATTTTCATTCTTTTGTAGAGCTGCTGCATTTGTATTGGACTTCGATGCGGTGACATTTGTTTTTTGATTAATTTCCAAGAGCATTTCTTTAATTTTTCTACGTTCGGCCTCGAAACGTTCACGCACTGTGGTAAACCATTGCAGTGAATTGAAATCACCCACCTGATTGAGCAATTTTAAAATGTATGCCAAACCAACAGCAAAACCATCATCGAACAGGACAGCTTCTTCACGATCTTTTTTGTTTATTTTTGATTTTACAGCTAGCATATATTCAACATAATTCATTATCAGTGGTGGTACAATAAGGAAGAAGTTGCGCAAATGTAAGTTGTGTGGATTACGGAAAAATGGTTGGAAGGCGTCAACGAGTAACTGAAATGGTAGGAAAACATTATTGTGAGTTACAAAAATATAAATATACAGGTTGTAGATTTTCAATTCAGGGAGGATTTAATAGGATGGTAGTAGAGTAAAGTACTGTCATCTTTGTGAAGACGTAAGAAAATTGTGGAGGAATGAAAGAAGAGAGAGAGAGGGGTGGCCTCTGTTTGATATAGATCCCATAGCAAATAAAGAAAAACGTTAGTTCCTCTGCCACTCAACTATTACTGCCACATTACATTTTTTCATCTCATCTGTCTTTTTCTACTATCGCATATACTCAAGTTGAACTTGTTGGATACAGGTCTCCGAGCATCTGCAGTCTTTCTTTTTTTACACTTCACATTTTCTTATTTATACTTACCTTAAAATAATCCGTGCTATCAGCAAAGCTATTGGCCAAATTTTGAATATTTGTTTCAAGATTTTCAGCAGCATTATGTAGAACCTCACTTAACTGTTGACCCTTACATTTCTCAACAAATTGTAGATTTTCATCAAATTTGGGTAAATATAAACTGGCACTATAGTTGGCATGTATGCTACCGGAACGTATCAAACGTATGTAACCCATGGCATTGCCTGAAACCCAAAATAATTACAATATATCTTTAAGAACCAAACAAAAAATCATCCACTTACCAACATGCGTTATAACTTTACGAAACAAATCCATATATGTCTGACCATCCTTGGCCAAACCCAACTTCCTTATATCCTTATTGAAAGCATCTGCTCTTTCGTATGAATACAAAGGATATTTATCCTGTTGTTTGCATTCGGCAAATGCTCGCAACTCCTTCATCAGCCTAGATTTGATTTGTTCATCGTAAAGAAATTGTGAAAATGTATAAAATTTCTGTCTTAAAAATTGATATGTAAAATTAACCGTGGTATTTATGACACCAGTACCGTGGGTACGTAACGAATTGGCCACATGTCGTATACCAATTGTATCCAAATGTTTATTATTACTATGTTGTTCCACGAAGATTTGTGAATTCATATTGTAGACATAGACACTGACGAAAACATGAATTTTACGCATAATTTCCAAAATATCAATACCCTGTTCCAGTGTCTGATTGGGTAAATAATCTTCTACGGGATTTAAGAGTAGACGATTATTGGCCAAATGTCTCATTTGTTCATAGGTTTTCCAATCATGCAGTGAGATGGTGGTAAGATTATAAAACATTGCACTTAAATAGTTTTCAATGTGATCTTTCAATATTAAATAGTTGCCATTAACTTCGACGGGACAAATATTTATCAATTCTTTGTAATCATTAATGCCCTGATCAAAAGGATTCATTTTTTCCACCTGCAAGTTGGCATGTACTTCTAAACGTAAAAATATTTCGATTTGAGCACAAAGTTTGCTAATGATTTCGGAGCGTAAACTTTCGAAATGGGATTTTTGTAATTCCTGTGATAGCTGGGAATTATGGAATTGTAGCAGATTCAGGCGATCATTGCATTCGGTGGAAGCTTGAACAAGGTACTGCCAAAAATAAGAATAGAAACAACTTTATATATATACATATTGTTCGATCAATTTATACCTACCTGAAATGAATGAAAATCCAGTCTTTTATCCACCACCTGTTTCAGATATGCTCTCAATATCGACTGATGCCAATACAAAAATGATGTATCACAAATATCTTTGATGTGTTGTTGAAAATCTCCAATCATTTCGATACGTTGTATCAGCAGGCGAAAACGTTCAAATTGTTCGTGATTTAAAAATTTACTACCGCTACCATTACAGGCTACATCGAATGCCAATTTTGCAACTAATATACGAATTTTACTCGGTGGACCAAGTAAGCAGCGTTCAGCTATTTTTATACCGGACAAAGCATCAACACCCTTTTCCTTTAATTTCGACGACAGCAATTTCTTTTTCCATGCATTCAACAAATGTAATAATTTATATTGAAAATATTGTGAAATACAATGGATAATTTTACTTATATTTGTGGTGTGGTTGTTAAATGTCAGCTGTATCATTTTTAACATTTCCAATAGTTTACAGACGACCATCAATGATTGTTTGGTCATGGGTATTTGGAGGTGTTCATGACAACTGACAATGCCTTTGATCATATAACTTAAATGTCCCGCCATGCGTACACCTTCCATTAACATTTGTGCCAATTCTTTGAATTGTTCGATACGCAATTCGAATGGTCCCAAACTTAAGGCTTTATTTATTTTCAATGTCCACAGCGTGATATCACCACAATATATGCGGCAATCTTTACTTAACTTTGTGGGTGCATGTAATTGTAAAAACAGTTGCTGTTGTTTCTTTAAATCAATTAGGTTTTTTCCATGTGTCTTTATCAATGAATAGGCATTTCTCGTTAGGAAAGCTGTTGATGACCATGCGATATTACCAATTAACATAATTGCAGGATATTTGGTATTCACTTCAAATAAATGTTTTATACATTTTCCATCAACTTGGCCACAAAAGTCATGAAACACAACACAAAAGGCATTTATCCGTATAATGGAATGAGTATCGGTAAAGGTATTTAATTCACTTGGATTTGTTTTATCGATTTCATTTAATTGTTGTTTTAAATATTCATTAAATTGTTTGGTTAATTGTCCCATACCACGGGAACCGATTTTCTCCTTTAAACTGAATGTTGTGTCAAGGAAGTGCTGTAAGGCAAAGGAAATAGATTGGAGGATTAGTAAAAATAAATTCATGTTGAAATACCTATAAATATAAGGAATTTTTGGCTAAATGACGACCGATATTTGTCATTCTTTTCGAGACGTTCTTCGACGTAAGAGCAAGTGAATTATGGCACAACGAACCTAGGTGCAATGTGTGAAGATCCATTTGACTAACTCTGTTAGCCAAAAGAACAAAATCGAACTAACTAGAATCTGACCGAAGCCATGACCAAGTACTATATCAGGGTCTTTACCAAATGAGCGATTATGTTACGGACTACTTCAGAATTTGTGAGGACGAGACGACATCTGTCCCTGTTTGGTTCTGACCTGCAGTCGACGTAGACTAGTGGGTGTTCACTTTCCGTCACATCTAACCCTCTACTCTATTATGGAGGTTGCATTAATCTGCAGCATCATCAGAAATGATCACAATGGACCGAAATGTTTTTAAACTACAATTTCGTTGATTGTTCGACACTTTCAATTTGTCGGTCAGACACCGATTTCGGAGATATAATATTGGTTTATTTGAGCTATCCTTGGGTTTCAGGTGTCTTTCGACAATCAAACATTCATCGTTTAGATAGGGGGAGACTGCGAAACAGGATGAATATCCTAGTCCCACAATTACATACTACATAAAACTTCATGATAGGTTGTTGTAGAATAGAAGCTCTGAGGGCGGCATTCATTCCGTGTTCGTTCAGCAAAGATGACAGGTCTGAATACTTCTCTGACAGGTCTGAATACTTCTCTATTGCGTAACACCAGTATTCGCAGACCACACTGGAAGCGCATAGCCACAGACCGACCTATCGCTTTGTAAAAGGTTTCCTTATCTGCGCCCCAAGTGCTGTCGGCAAGCGGCTTGAGGACCTTGTTCCTACTTTTCAACTTATCGCAGATAGCTGTGGTTTGCGCGGACGATTTGAATATGCTGTCGAATGTGACCCCGAGTATTTTGGTGTAGTTGGTGGTCGGAATTGTGTGCCCCTCGACCTGCATTCTTATCTCGCTTCTCCGCAGTCCATGTGGTGAATAGTGTGGCCTCGCGTGAAAGAAGATTGTTAACTCGGCGAGATAGGCGTTCAACCTCACACAAATGTCCTCAACAATAGGACCTGACGCCATGTTCGTACAATCATCTGCATATGTAACGATCTAGATGACGTCCGGAGGGCGTGAAATACCGGAAAGGTAGATGTTAAACAGTTCCGGAGATATCACTCCCTGCTTCACTCTACGGGGTTTGTACCACTAGTTTCGGAACTCCACGTGCGACTGGCGTCCACACATATAGTTGAACCTTTCAAACTCGGTCGGAGGGAAGTGCTCTCGATGTCCTCAAATAGTGTGGCATGATTGACAGTATCAAAGGCTTTTGATAGATCAAGCGTTACCAACACTGTTCTATCGCACGGCCGGTTCTGGATAAGTTCTCGACTTATATGTGTGGAGATGGCGTGCAACGCTGTTGTTGTGCTGTGTTGCTTACGGAAGCCATGTTGCAACAGGATAGCTTTCCCTAATGCTGGGGAGGAGTAATGCCTCAAGGATCTTCGATATTGGTGACAAAAGTGTAATCGGCCTGTAATCGGCTTCAGTAGCGGGTCCACCCTGCTCATTGTGCAGGCTTCGGGAACGACGAGGGTAGCTATCTACAAATTGAGGACTTTGATCAAATACTCGACTCCTGGCTCGTCCAGCTGTTTCAGCATATACATGGATATTCCGTCAGGCCCAACGCTTTGGATGACGTAAATCTGTGGGTTTGTTTGGTCAGTAGAACAAATCTGCATTGTTGTGTGTAGACTACAGACAGGTTGGGCCTTGATCTGTTACGCAAGGTAACAGTTTCGTAAATTGCTCCACTCGCACCCAGCTTTTTGTAAGCCAAAATACTACTTCGATCTCCGAGTGGGGTAAAAGTCCATATAATCCTTAGTCCTGATTTATATTAGGCGAGTTTACTTGCGGCAATTATTATCGTTCCCTTTTGAACTTGCTTCATGCGTCTATACAAGGCAATTCGGTTTCGAAAATATTTCTTTTTTCATTTAATGTCAATAGTTTTTTCACATTTAAATAAACATAAAATGTAAACAAATACGAAATACACAATACGAATTGCCAGAAAATTGTCGGTACGTCTTGATTTAGATTAGGCGAGTTTACTTGCGGCAAGTCTTTGTTTGTAGGAGAGATGGGCAAGGGGAATAGAAATGGAAAAAAATTGCTCGTACCGACAATTTTCTGGCAATTCGTTTTGTGTATTTCGTATTTTTTGACATTTTATATTTACATATTTAAATGTGAAAAAACTATTTGAAACAAATAAAAAAACAATTTTTTTGAAACCGAATTGCCTTGTATAGATGCATGAAGCAAGTTCAAAAGAGAACGATAAGAATTGCCGCAAGTAAACTCGCCTAATCTAAATCAAGACTACGAGAAACTTTTTCCATTTCTATACCCCTTGCCCCTCTCCTACAGCCAAAGACTTGCCGCAAGTAAACTCGCCTAATCTAAATTGGGACTTAATAACTATCAATACTTACCCGAAATATATTGCCACTGAATATAAATTCCAGTTCATGTAAACAGGTCTGTAGGCCACTCAGTTCAGCACTGGTACAATTTTCCCATTGGGTTTGGCTATTTGATAATGTGTCCACTGTCTTCTTATATACTGGCCAATAGCGGGTAAAACTTGAACGTAACAAAATCTCATCGAATATGAGAATGGTATGAAACAGTGAAGACAAATATTCACAAATGTGCTAAGAAAAAGAAAAATACATTTAATTATTATTCAAAATAGCGAAAACTCAAAACCTACCGTTAATTTGATATTCACAGTGCTAACTTTATTTTCACTATCCAAAATGGCACCGCATTGATGCAATAGATTATTGCCCAATACAATGCAACGTTGCAGTAGGAAATTAATTTTACACAAGAACTCCATAGATTCACTCATTTGCAGGAGAACATTACTATGCGTTAAACTATTATTTTGCTTGGACATATCAATATTGTTATCCTCGCCCGAGGCATTGGCGGCATTTTGAATTGTCAACAATAGTTCTTCATCCTTATAGAGAAGTTTCATTTGCATTGCCTTTGCTTCATTATTGATATAATCGATTTCGGAACATAAATGACCAACGGTCAAAAGGATTTTGTTTAGTACCCTCTCGGATTCTAATAATTTCACCAATGACAATTCTTCATTATTTGCAGCATAATTAATTTGAACCACTGATTGCTTTAGCAGTGGTTTTTCTTTGACACTATGTTTGTTCTTCTTGATAAGGGTTTTCAGCTTCTTATCATGTTCCTCCAAAAAGATACCATAGTTCTTTAATTGTTCCTCGGCCGATGTAACTAAGATAAAGGAAAGAAAGATTTCTTAATTATAGGAATTTACTATATTTGCTGGAATACTTACTTATAGTACTTTGATCCATGGCTGCTTAATGTTCCAATATTTACATTCCAATATCAATGGGAATTTTTTTAAGTTTTGCCGTTCGGGAAGGAATTAGGGTTATATTCAATCTAAAATTCAATAGGAGAAAAATAATGGAACGTCCTAGAGCTCAATAACCGCCGTCAAATGTTATATCCTAGTGTCCAATGGTAAACGTTAATCCAATCCACTTCTTGCGTTAAGTTGAGTCAATCAAACCTCCTTTAAACGAAGGAATCAATTAAAATAAAAAACGTTCCATATGATACGAATATGAGAAGAAAGGAGAGAATGACTGATAAAACAAAGATCATAACAAAATGGGGTGGAGGCAGGAAATGTTTACGAAAAGTGTATGGTATAAAGGCGATATCATCCATGTTTAGAAAGAGACGATGAGAGGCAAAGAGAAAATCAAACAGCTGATAAATTCTCCTCACAAAATAGGGAGACATAAGTCGATGTACGACTAATCGATTATTATTGAGCATGTTTCCGTACAATAACATTTTTAAAAATTAATAACGGAAAATAATTAGTAGATTATTTAATGGTGGGCACACTATTGGTCTGTTCCAGTACTTTACTAATAGTAAAGCTAGTAAAAGGGAAACATATCAAAATTGCTCTCAGAGTACAAAAAAAGTTCAAAAGTTCGGGAATGCAAATCTATTAATGGTGTTTCTACACGATATGTATTTTACATATGTACTGTCACTTTTTCATCCATATGTAATTCCTTATGTGTGTCAAAATTAGCAGCGTACACAAAACATTTATTTTTTGTGTTCAAATTGGCATATGTATTTTACATATGACATAACCTATAAACAAAAAAACACTTTTATTTTTTTCTTAAATCAACATCTTTTTTTTATTAAAAACCTACAAACGAAATAATAATTTGTAATCGTTGCCTTTTCATACTTTTCTTTGACTTGCCATTGAAATATTTTCTTCCAACAATGTCTTTCATTCAAACAGCTGATTTCTTTATGTTTCACATACGAAAATAGAGCGCGTCCTATTCGGAAAAAATACATATGTAATTGTATATCATTTTGACACATTGAAATTTCCGTATGTTTCACATGACGAGTTCGATTTCCATATATAAAAAAGTGACAGCACATATGTAAAATACATATCGTGTAAAAACACCATAAATATGCCAAAATTTCAGAGTTCAGGAACGGTTTTTGACATGGTATAATAAAAGATAATGCCATGTTCTGACGGGCATTCGAACAACGTAGTTCGCTCTCAGAATTACGTACATGAATTAACCCGTTCATACAACACTACTCCTAATTCATGTCATCAGAGTTTTTTATTTCAAACTTTTTGTTTCTTGTTTTACACCAAAATTCTAACATATTTGCATGAATCACATATGGATTTGAATAGAAAAATTAATTGTCTTTCTCCTGACTATATTAAGAACCCATATCTATTTACTTTTAATTCATGTTTTCCATTTTTCTGAAAATATTGTTGTTTTCATACATTTTTATATTTTCTAAATTCAAATGTCACATATAAAAGTTTGGAGAATTTTTTATTTGAGTGTCCCCAAATTTGTTTCTTGTTTTGTACGATAATTAGAACCATGGGGAAAGAAATTCACATTGCATTATGTAGATAACAAAATTTACATCCTGCTGCATATATAAAAACTAGACAATTTTTTACTTTTCATTCATCATTTTCAATATTACTAAAAAAGATTGAAAATTTTATAAATATTTTCAAGCTGTCAAAATTAATTTATTTTCGATAAATGCTCTCAGTTGTTAGGGATGGGACAAATTTCTTGGTGATTCAGAGAGTGATTCGAATTGAACAACGTACAAAAGTCGGGGTTCGCTCAGACAATTTTGTATGGGGAACTAAGTAATTACTTCATAATTAAGGGTCGAACAACGAATGAGAGAGCGAACAACGCTCGTCTGTACATGGCATAACAGCAAGTGTTGTTGTACAAAAAACGATACAACAACCACATGGAAATTTGTTGTTGTAAGTTCTACTAGTGTCAACTCATTTGACAGAAAAATGTAAAAAAACAAACCAATTATCAAATTATTTTTATTTTGAAAATTAAATATTTTCGAATCTTCAAAATAAAAATTAAGAAACATAATTGAAAATCTATCAAATTTATATTTCTATCGCTTCCACATCTTTCCTTTAATTGAGCCATTGCCATATATATGTGTAACACATATGAAAATGCTCGGAATAACGAGTTATTCCTTCAAGAAAGATTTGCTTCCTCAAACTTTCCCAGCAGGCAGATTGAGTAAATTGAATACGGGAGTACATCAATAAAGAACAATTTCAAATTGCGTTCCCAATTTTCCTGTTGGGTGATTTTTAAAAACATAATTTGTCAAATTCATATTGACACTAGTATTACGTTGGAATCAAATCAGCTGGGATTTTGTTACCTTTTATAATTTTACCATGGGTTTTTGAGTAAAAAGTTGCACAACTTGTAAAATTAGTAATTTTTTTTAGTTTCTAGAACGGAACTTATGACTTTTGAATGACATTCTTTGCCATATTCTCATGTTCGTTATTCATCAAGCAACCACAAAAATATTTATGGTTTTTGGACAGCCAGTAATCGATAAAAAGAGTTGACAAACCAATATGATAGTTGGTCTGTTCCCGTACTGCTAGAATCTACAATTTTTTACTACGATAACCCTTTTTCCCCTTATGATATCGGAAAAAATAGAAAAACTCGTAGATTCTTGCTGTACGGGAACAGACCAAGTGTGTACCATGGTACAATTATATAAGGTAACAAAACTACAACAAATACATTTCAGCAGCAACCACTTAGAAAAAAGTTATTGTATGTAACATTGCCCTGATGGAAATGTGGGGTGTTTGTCTAATATTATGGCGACATATCTCCATATGTATTTTCAACAACTAGTTTGTTCCCGTACTGCAAGAATCTACTAGTTTTTACTATTTTCTTCGATATCGTAAAGGAAAAACAGTTATCGTAGTAACAAATAGTAGATTCTTGTAGTACGGGAACAGACAAAACTTGTCTTCGTATCATGTAATAAGAAGAAGCATTTGCTATTTTAACAGCCAACTGAGCATGATTAGGCTTCTTCTTATTTTTGTTTAGACTATCCAAATTGTTGAGAATCTGTTAAGATATAGGTATACCTCCCATATACAAGATGGTGCGCCTAAGACCCGACTTTTTTCCCAATTAAGGCGAAATTTTCCATTGGCTATCGAATATTTCTACAATGACTTCATGCGATACAGGCTTGGGATGGGAATAATTTGGATTTTGTTAAAATCGTCTCAAATATTGAAATATTTATACCCTTCACCACACTGTGGTACAGGGTATTATGTCTTTGTGCATATGTTTGTAACAGGCAAAAATAATCGAGATAGACCCATGGTTCCTTTTGAGAATATGCATAGAATCACTTTCTAAGTCGATTTATGCATGATCGTCCGTCCGTCTGTCTGTCCATGTTAAATTGTAAACAAAGTACAGGTCGCATTATTATCCGAATTGGATGTAATTTCGCATAGGTCACTTATTCGGCCCAAGGACGAACCCTATTGAAATTGGAAAAAATCGGTTCAGATTTAGATATAGCTCCCATATATATATTTAACCGATTTAATGTAAACGGTCCCTATATATCTTTTGATTTGCACGAAATTTGGTACAGGCTAATCATTTAGGCCTATAATGATGTCTGCCAAGTTTCGTGAAAATCGGTCCAGATTTAGATATAGCTCCTATATATAGTTTCGTCCGATTTCATGTAAATGGTGCCCCAAAGTCCCTATATATCTTTTGTTTTGCACGAAATTTGGCATAACGTACTGAATTAAGCCTAGAGTGATGTCGGCCAAGTTTCGAGAAAATCGGTCCAGATTTAGATATAGCTCCCATATATAGTTTCGTCCGATTTCATGTAATTGGTGCCCCAAAGTCCCTATTTATCTTTCGATTTGCACGAAATTTGGCATAACGTACTAAATTGAGTCTAGAATGATGTCTGCCAAGTTTCGTGAAAATCGGTACAGATTTAGATATAGGTCCCATATATAGTTCCTTCGATTTCATGTGAATGGTGCACCACATATATCTTGCGATTTGCACGAAAATTAGATATAGCTCCCTTTTATTATAGATTGATTTTAAGTAATTGACGCACCAAGGAACCAATAGGAACAAAACGTTCTGAAATTAGTATAACCTAACCTGTGTGTGTGACAAGTTTGTTTGAAATCGCTTAATATTTGCATAGAGCTCCCATATATATTTTCGCCCGATTTCAAGTAAATTGGGCATCAAACTCCTCATGTTAGTCAGTTTGACATCAAATTTTGCACAACGTACAAAATTGAGCATAGAATTATGTAGTTGCGTTTTCTAGAAGTACAGACATAGCCCAACGGATGACCTATTTATGTTTGTTTGAAGTCGATTTACATACTTTATGGATAGATCTACGTAGATTCACATTTAGATAAATATCACATATTTTATTTCATCCAATTTCATGCTAATAGTCCTGTTTAATATACCCATAGTGGTGAAGGGTATCATATAGTCGGCGACTTTACTACTTTCCTTACTGGTTGAAGAAAATACATAGCTTTTGTCCGATTTTAAAATGTATAAGTATCGTTTGTAAGTTTATAAACTATTGACTTACTACTGACCGTGTCCATATATGTGACGCTGGGTATATACATATCGAAAAACTACTGACGTTAAATGTCAATAGTAACAAGTGAAAAAGGCGTTAAGTTCGACCGGGCCGAACTTTGGATACCCTCCACCATAGTTACACTGATAGTTACTTGAAATGAAAATATGGGGAACATACCACCACGTATACCTATACCAACAATTATTGTTGTAAACCATAATGTATACCAAATACAAATTCCAGCAATTTTTAATGGAGATTTGTCCTAAAATCGCAAAACACCCAA